TGTTTTATATATAATAAATTGAATTGATTGGTTATTTACCTGAGTGTATGACTTACGTGCCTATGGCCTACGGAGGAGTGATGATCATTAGAAGATAATACTGAAGGAGGATAGGAGGCGTCAGCAATCACATGTCTTCGCTTATGCACCCTGCTATATGCAGCAAATAAATTGACCTGGCTGGTATTACCTGCTTTCTCCTCTGGCACTACTCGTTTTTTGGTCGAGTATGCGCTCCCTGGTGTCCTGGGAAACAGTCAAGCAGATGCGTGCAAGGATTGGACAGGATCAACATCGTGAGTGTCTAACGTAACATCACCCACTAATTTCACCGGATCCACCGCCTGTTTTCACTGTTGTTGGTTTGGAATCAGAGCTCGGCTACTTCCCTTTGACAGTCGTGGGACTCAACTAGGTTGACACCTGACACTCGCTTTCGACAAATAATTACCGTAATAAGGCAGTGAGTAGGTTTCCTGAATGGTTAATCTAGCAGAAATGACCCGATTGCGCGATCAGTGGCGCTTGTGCATCAAAGCTATCGCCTTCATTGCGTAGTTACCCGCCCCTGACCACCTGAACATGCCATCGCTTCCATGGCTTGGCCGTACCTCCCAAACTCCCACTTTTCGTTGAACGAAACTGTAGCAGCTGGAACCAATGTACCTATGATACATGTTTTATATATAATAAATTGAATTGATTGGTTATTTACCTGAGTGTATGACTTACGTGCCTATGGCCTACGGAGGAGTGATGATCATTAGAAGATAATACTGAAGGAGGATAGGAGGCGTCAGCAATCACATGTCTTCGCTTATGCACCCTGCTATATGCAGCAAATAAATTGACCTGGCTGGTATTACCTGCTTTCTCCTCTGGCACTACTCGTTTTTTGGTCGAGTATGCGCTCCCTGGTGTCCTGGGAAACAGTCAAGCAGATGCGTGCAAGGATTGGACAGGATCAACATCGTGAGTGTCTAACGTAACATCACCCACTAATTTCACCGGATCCACCGCCTGTTTTCACTGTTGTTGGTTTGGAATCAGAGCTCGGCTACTTCCCTTTGACAGTCGTGGGACTCAACTAGGTTGACACCTGACACTCGCTTTCGACAAATAATTACCGTAATAAGGCAGTGAGTAGGTTTCCTGGTATTGAATCATGTGGGAAAGTTTCAGGGAGGTGCAAGGAGCGACCATTCATTGCGTGAAACTCGGTCATACTGGGGTAGTGGGAGCTTTGGTTGATTTCAGTTTCACCTGGTTTGTGGACTCATCTGTTGTACATAATTTCCATGCTTTACTCTTTTCCCAGGTCATTCTTTTGCTGGACTAATTTTGTGTACAGTCTACCCATCAGCCTTAGAAGGTGAAACATAAAATGGTACGATCAGCCTTGCTCAAATTCGACTTTTTTCACCCCTAGTCGGCATTATTCAATTTTCAGAGCCTTTTGAGCGTTATTCTTTTGCTTATCTGCACCTGTGCCTATGTAAGGCACTTCTCTCCCGCTCTTCTAGACTCTCACAAACACGGGTGAGTGCACAGTTCATTAATGAGTCTATTTTTAACAATACTTTCAGCTTTCTTGGATTATTTTGGAAGTGCGCAAGAATCGGTAGGTTGTGTTGTAGCCATTTTACTGACCTTTTTCTGTGCAGGGGAACGGAAGAGTCCTTATGTGGCCTTGTCTTGTGTCATAATGGCGATTGCTGTGTTATTTGGTCAATAGTGGTTCGAAATATAATTGTCTGTGCTCAAATTCTGTTCTCAATTTCTGTTTTTGAAAGTAGAATAACTCATGAACAATTTCGTTTTCAGCTGTGGTGCTTTCAATGCTGGCGCTTCCGAGAATAATCGCTCTGGGTCGGCCTTTTCTGACCAAGAGAACCATGGCGCTTACTCCAAACCCTTATCGTCATCAAGGAAAACAGTACAAAGACCCACTTAGTATAATAGCATTTGTTTGCGTCATTATTCCCCTTAGCTGGATGGCATACGACAAAGCAAAAGGTATTGACCAAGTGCCAAGGCGCGACAGCGTTTAGATGTATTATCCGCTCTGTAGCTATCCAAAAATAAATCCTCCTTTACAACTTCCTCTTTGTCCCTCCTCCATTGTGTGTATGAATGGTTTCGGTTTATCCGTTATGAAGGGGCTGAACCTTACCCTTTTATGATGTGTGTTTTCCCGTAACTCATTGGGCTATACTTAGGGGGTTGTATAAGTCCGTTCGACACTTGCAGAGTTCCTCATACCAGGTTGATCAATATTTGGAGGTCTAACCAGCACAGTCTTTAGGTTGGCGGCAGGAACGTGTGGCAATTTGTCTAAAAAAAACATAACGCACTGGCGTTTCCCGCCAAGCCGCTGCCTTGCGTTCAGACTTTCGAGCCGAATGCTTTGGTTGTGGAACATTCTCGTCTTCCTATTTGGGTCTGAGCGCTCCGGTAATATCCCAGCCCGCAAGATGGCTCAGTGGTTAGAGCGCGAATTTGCTCAGAGGATCCGTGGTTCGAACCCGACCTCTTCATCTCGAATTCTCCTGTCTAGACTTGGGCGACATGGCAGTATCCCAGCCCTCATTCTTCGTCTGGGTGGCATAGCGGCTAGGCACTGAACGATTACTTCATTACTAGCACAACTAAGATTACAACAGTTAGGGATTTTGTGACGCCACATCAGCCGTCGCGCTGTGTTATCAACCGGATCGCTTTACTTGTTGCATACTGTTGACACCCCTTTTTCTAATTTACAAACTTTCTCCCTCCAACCTATTAGGGGGCGAGATGGCCGAAGTGGTTAGAGCGCGGATTACTAACCTGAAGGTCCGCAGTTCGAATCCGACCTCCGCCACTCGACTTCCCCTGTCTAGGCTTGGGCAACCTGGCAGTATCCCAGCGCTCGTGCTCCCTTCGGGTGGCATGGCAGCTAGGCACCGGAAGGGTGCTACAGCTGAACGCTTTTACGCTTTTATTAGGAAGTCTCTCGTAGTCCCATCCATTAGAACTGGCAATTCGTTCGTCTTGCATCAGTTTTGGTCACATATGTGCGCCAACCAGCGCTGATTGCCTCGGGCATCTCGAAGTCCGTCTTAGAGCCTCGATGTCCGGTTTATCTGACTGCTCTTAACGTTCTCACTATGAAGCAAGCAGAATAACAAACTGGTCTTGTTCTCACACTTGATTCGCTTGATATTGTTGTGTGTTGTATGTCAGAAACGAAAATCCAAGATGCAAGCACAGTGACTTAGCTAACTGCTCCATCAATCTCCACTCACATCCGGATGTGCCACTATTGTGATACAAAGACCGTTGCGTCATGGTGTGTGGGAGCGGCATCATCTGGCGAAAGGATCCTTGAGTGACTGGATACCCGTTGATAGTCACATCTGTGCGGTAATGTTCGTGAATGAGTCTCACAAGCGGGAAGTTGGTGGTTGTCTGTTTTTCGCGTCTGCTTATGCCCATGTTGGCTGTAGCTCTGGTACTATCAAAGGGAACTTTCATTACGCCTGGAATACCCTGTTACAAGGAGCTCCTTGTCCGGATGACCTCCCATCCGCAATGTCAAGGATGGGGATGAAGTCCTCTGTTAGCGCAATTCTGGTCTATTTACGTCCATTTACGAAAAGAAAACTGTCACAGACAACTGTGAAGAATCAGCGATAGTGCTCATTTTCGAAAAAGGGGTCATACCTTGAGTGAATACCCGTTGATAGTCACATCTGTGCGGTAATGTTCGTGAATGAGTCTCACAAGCGGGAAGTTGGTGGTTGTCTGTTTTTCGCGTCTGCTTATGCCCATGTTGGCTGTAGCTCTGGTACTATCAAAGGGAACTTTCATTACGCCTGGAATACCCTGTTACAAGGAGCTCCTTGTCCGGATGACCTCCCATCCGCAATGTCAAGGATGGGGATGAAGTCCTCTGTTAGCGCAATTCTGGTCTATTTACGTCCATTTACGAAAAGAAAACTGTCACAGACAACTGTGAAGAATCAGCGATAGTGCTCATTTTCGAAAAAGGGGTCATAGTGTGAGGCAATCACAGAGGACCAGCCTGACCCCAAGTTGCAACGAGACTGTTGATGTCCTTGTGCTTTGTCTTATGGCGCCCGTGAGACATTGATTCGTCAGTAGCAAGCGGGATTCCAATTCGGTAGGAGATGCGTTGGCCAAAATTTACACCCCGTCAGGTGCTAGAACAACGCGATACATAAAAGCGACCCACAATTCTAGTATTCCTGGAATTCACAGGCGCGCTCGACTCAGTTAACCTGTATGTTTTTAACACTTGTTCAGCAAAGAATTCCATGGAAGTTTGCGAATAAATTTTGAGTGATCTGACCAAGGTCCCGTCCCTTTGGCATGGACATTGCACCTTCAAAGTATGATGTGAAGTTCCTAGACATGCAGTTTCTGAACGTGCCTCGTACAATCCAAGGATTGGTACTCAAAGTTTTGGAGCGTTTTACTTATCTTAGAGGCAAATGCACGAATCTCTAAGGTCGAAGTTCGCGTTCACTAATTTGAAACACCTAGGGTGGAAAATCGGTACATCCATGAGTCTCGGGGAATGTGTATCAGCCTATATTTCGGACCGTTTTGTTGTATGGCTGTGAGGTGTGGCGTCTGCTAACCGCGGAATCGAGACGTTTTCCGATCTTTGGCAGCCGCTTTTTCAAAACCATAGTTTGCTTAGGCTGGTGCTGTCGAGTCCTCAACCAGACAATAAGAAATTAGTGCTTGGCTGTTCANGATGAATTTCGGTTGTGTCAGACAGTAGGTGAGCAGGATTATCGTGAGCTATGTTGGACTCTATGCTGTTTGTAGGAGGCCAGGTTCCGATCCCGATCAATGAAAGAAGGCTAGGCACTCGATGAGTTTTGTCTCAAGAGTAGTGAGCATACTAGACCTTGTGAGTATGTCGTTGCACTCAACAAGATGACCTTGTATTTCCTGAATTTGATGACGTCAAAAAACTAGTACTGTCGACCAGCAATGTGCAACTGCCTCTTCTTTAGAGGCTCACCAGATAGGCGTAATGTCTCAGAATATAGCTGGATAATTTTATTCTCTCGGTATCACGCCCTAGGATGATTTTCATCTCATCGTAATATCTGATTTCATATATGGCTCAGATCTTCAAGGCAAGCCCAGTTAAGACTATATTACCGCACAACTTTCTTATAGGTCCAGTTATGTCCTTTATATTGCTCTCTCGCCGGCTACTGTCATCTCGGATCCTATTAACAAGGGTCCTTCCCAATCACACCACTTCGAGGACTGATCTTCATTGTGGCTTCGTAATCCCTCGTCACATTGACTGGTCGACATATCGTAGCTCTCGTGCTGTGATTGGGCCGGGTGATTTTCGACGATCGTTCTCCGACAGTGGTCGTCCGGGACACCAGGAAAGTGAGAGGAAGCAGTGGGGTTCCACTATCCTTACGCTTGTCGCCATTCCCGCCTTTGTTGGGTTCGCCTTTTGGATTCGCTGGTACACCACTCGGGGACCGGACTATGGAAAGCTGTCGGAGGAAGCGCGGAATCAAAGTAGCGGGTACGTTCTACTGTGCAGTGTCTTTCACTTGTTTCAGTTCTGTGGCGAATGTGTAAGTGTAAATCAGACGTTCTCAATGGTGTTTTATTCGCTACTCATCGGCTTCAAACGTTTCACTGAGTAGTAGAAAACGGTGTGGTCTTCTACGCGTTTGGGCCTGAAAGGGACTCACGCCTTGCAATTTGCCTGTTGTGACCAACCGCAAAAAAACTAGTAACAACCGATCCTGCCATACTCTTCGGATAAGTTCTAATCAGAAATGAACTTGTAACGAGTTGTCTCTCAGGGCTGACCACGTTCTGCTCCCTGTCTTTGAAATCTTCAGTGGGATCATGGAGAGTCAGGACTAAACACTTAATTGCTCCGAAATGGTCCGTTTTCGAATCTAGTTTATCGCATGGGCTAAGTGAATAAAGTCATTCCAATCATGGAAGAAAATCCGACAGCGATATGTATTTCCGTCTGTGCCGTTGATCAGAGTGATGGGTTTTATAATTTGCAAACATCGATCCAAGTGTATGGTTCTAAGAGTTCAAGGTAACTGATTGTTAAGGGCGCCAACGTACTGGCCAGAAGGTATGTGGTTCGGACCTGTCTGTCTCCCATTTGGGCTTGGGGAACCCAGTATCATCTCAGTCCTCGTGCTTCCTTTGGGTGACATGGCACGTAGACACAGAAGGGGTGTTACAAAGGAACGATTGATTTTTTGATTGAATGGTGCTTCGCCGGACTTGACTTCATTCATCACAAACAAAGCTTTCTGGATATGGATACTCAACACGAATGGTCCACATAAGCTCTTGTTAAATGTTGAACTGTTTCATTCGTAGTTCCCCTAGTGGAGGGGCTATGAAACTTCCATCTTTGACAGACAACAGGAACTCAATATGTTGATTTTTCATTGTTTTAGTGCCTGATACATCACTGCTTATTCCGTGGCGTTTGAGATAAACATTCTTCATGTTGTTTTCCGACTGATTTTAGTCAACTTAGTCCCTTTACAGCTAATTCCTTTTGCTTTTGATTTGGGTCGTTGCTAGACACGTCAGTTTGAGACGATCAGCCCAAGATACCCCCCATCTTCAATCCACCACTACTTCCACTTTATCTGCTTCGGACATATCTTCGATACCACCGGTGGTCGAAAAGGCAACTAGTCCTGATGACAATCCTTCTGCTCAGACCGTCCCCGAATCCGGGAGTAGTGAGCATGCCCCATCAACCTCAACTGATGAACGGAAGTCTACTCAGGCCTCCTCATCCAGTGAACCAGGTTAGAAATTATTGGTACTGTGTTACCTCTCGTAACTGATTGTCTTTGGTCGGTTGTAATCTTGCTGGATTTTTGGCCTTTCCCTTCTGTAATTTGTGCATGGTACTCTCCCTAACGGGATATTATCGAAACCAGCTGGAACAATCTTTCAAATATTCGAATCCAAGCTCTTTTGTAATGCGTTGTTCGTTAAAGACGAGATTGTTCATCCTTGGCTGTACTTCTCACAAGTATCACTGAAACTGTCCTACTTTAGGAGGATATCTGTGGGTAAATGTATTGTGGCCCGACTCTTAGCTTCCGAACTGGGAGCTCTTTCAGTTTGGTCTCCAGTTTCTCCACCAATATCCACCAATTTACCAGTCTCCTTGTAAGTGGCGTACGATGCTTATCCACAACTGTAACCAAGGGTTGTGTGATCCTCAATATCCATGTAGTCAATCATAAAGCTAGTGAAGATTACAACATACATTTTGCATCTCACTTATGACTTTACCCCTGTTGCAAAGCAGTTTGGAGTGGATTACTCATAAGGTTACAAAGATATACATGTATCGCGACATCTCGAATGTCGTACCGACTGAAACATGAGGCCGCCTGGTGCAGCACATTCAGTTGCCTGAGAACATCATAAACGAGAGATTCAGCTGGGTTCCAGGTGTGTCTCTCGAAAAAACAAATTAGTCTGCGAATGGGTGTATATTAACATATTAACAGTGGTAGTGAATGTGCGACATTCTACCGGAGTACTACATCCCTGGTGAGAGGCACCTTGTGGTTAGTTCTAAGGACAAATAATCAACGATGTTTGCGATGCTAATCTTGTTTCCGTCAATCTCAGATATTGTATCAAAGATTTTATCTCTCAGTTTAAGTGCTCTGACGTCCCACGTAAAACTTGTCTGCTTTTTGTCTTCAGCACAAGGAGCTCGGTATGGGTCTCACTGGACACCTACCTGTATGAAGCTGGATAAATGACCACCACCTAGTCAAATTGAAATCCGGATGAGTGTTGGGTTATTTGTCTGTCAATATGCACGCTCTTGTACCTGTTATCAAGTCATCTGACCGAATAACCATTGTTCCACTCATGGTGAATGCCACTGTTTATCTATGTGTTCACCTTGCACAAGGATCATAAGTTATCCGATCCAGACCACAAACAGCTGAAAACTCACAAGTGAAGGTCGCACCTTAAAATAGAATCGTGTCGGGCTTGTTGCAACTTTCTATGTAATCTTGTTTGCGGTTCAAGTAACCGGATGCATATGTGGTTTGGAGACGAGAAAGGCTAGTGCTGACTAAATTATTTTCGTCTGATGGACGCTCCGAACGACCGGTTTGAGAACTTGAGGATGATTTCTGTTGTAACATCAATTCCAAATCTGTTTTCGCAGGGCCATACATGAACGGGAGTTGTAGGAGTCTTCCTTTGTAGGAGGAGGCCATTTGTAGATTACTGGGTTTGATTTACTTGGATTCTTAGGGAACTTTAAGCCTCTCGCTTCTTTAGGTCAACCCACCACCCATTGAAAATCTGAGACCTGAAGGGTTTCGAGGTCGTCTAGATTAGTGATTAAACAAATCTTAAGTGTTCTCTTTCAGTAGCTTTCACACCTATGTGGATGAAACGTAATTTGTGCCATGGATTTTGACTTTTGGTGCACAAGGGGGCGAGATAGCCCAAGTGGTTAGAGCGCGAATTTACTGACCGGAAGGTCCCTGGTTCGAACCCGACTTCTGCCTCTCGATTTCCCCTGTCTAGGCTTGGGCAACCTCGCAGTGTCCCAGCCCTCGTGCAACCTTTGTGTGGCATGGCACCGGAAGGGTGTTACAGCTGAACGATTTGGTGCACAATTGTAACTAGAAATCGGTGATTGGTTAGCAGTACCTAGCAATTGATCGATTGTCCTGCAGATAGTTCGGTTGAGTACGATCACAAGTCGAGAACGATCCAAGTCGAAAAAGGAGAGTGAAGGTTTGCGAAAGTGATTTGCATTAGCTGGCCTTTAGATGGTTAGTTGCCACCATACGGCAGTGAAGCATCGGTGCTCTACACTGATGTCATGCTGTCAATAGTGATGATGATGATGATGATGCCACCCAGTGTTCTAAAACCCATTCATTCACACGTCCACCGACTCATCTTACGAGAGGACCTGCGCTCTCATCGAGCAACTATGTGGAAATGCTTTTTTGTTGTCTGTGAGTTGTAGCGCTGTAGCATGAGACGGCGCTATTCAACAACCTCATATATATTCCATTTGGTTGTGTACATCAGCCGCAATAGGTAGTCTGTTCTTTCCAACTCATATTCCTCCAAATCCTTTTGTTTTTTCCGAATTCCAACAGGGATCTTATAATGTACGGATGTGTTCCAGGTCGGGTGCTGTTTTTCCATCAAGTCATCACGAAGGTAGTCCGTTCTGCGGACGCCATCTTATTCCGGTGGCCCTCTTGTCATTCCAGTACTGATGTATTCGTTCACATTTCCGGCATTCTTCCTGGTACACAACCAGCTGTTCGTCTTTTCACTTTGCTATATGGTTGGGTCCTACAGTCTATTAGAAATTATTGGAAACCGGTATTGTTTTTCATTTCACCTTGTACTGCGCAGATTGTTTTTTTAATCTCATTTTGTCGTGGGATTCACTTTATTTTAGGTCCCCAGACAAATTACATTGACCCTGCTAAAGTGGAGTTTCCTAGCCACGTCCCCTATCTCATCGTCGGTGCAGGAGCCGCAGGTCTGTCTGCAGCACGCGCAATCCGAGCATCGCATGCTCAGTCGAAAGTTCTGATGATCGCAGGTGGAAGTGCACCTGATTTTGGATCTGAACCAGGAATAAGTGAAACCGACTTTCAGGAGCCTCCACCATATTTGAGGCCCCCATTGAGCAAGGAACTGTGGCGGCGCAGTAAGACACGTGAACAAAAGGTCCTTCAGACAACGGGTGACATTCGGCGTCACTCCTGGCTTTATTACGAACCGGAATGCTTTTTTCTCAAACCAGAATAGTGAGTTATCTGCTTCTCACTTGACTTTGATTGCCCACCTTTCTTTCCTCACAGCTTGGCTTGATTGACTAAATTTACTGGGGTCCTTACCATCCAAACCAAATTGTCTTCACCGTTCACCTACATAAATGTGCTTTTAAGTAAGGATACTGCAATCCGTCCCTTGCACAAGGCGCTTTTTGTTGGCTGTATACTGTTTGAGCCACAATTGTCGATCTCAGTTAACACAAGTATTGTTCGGTAAGGCTGGTAAGTGCAAATAGAGTGGACGGAAAACGAAAGCGACGAACGAAGACGAAGGTTGGCGAACAAGCAGGTCTGCCGATTATGACACCTTCTTTTCACAGAAAAGTGGTATCTATATGGTTATTGAGAGCTTTCCGACAGTTCACTACCAGTTTTGCCTTTTTTCGACTCATTCATTAGCCAGTCTTTAGTTTTTATCATATTCACCCCGTTGCTGCTCTCCAGATTGAACACATGGGTTAGACAGTGATTCGCAACTGTGTTATCACTTGGAACCCCACATGAATCTCTTTCGTAATTTTTGCATACTGCGAAAGTTTCACTGAGTCATTCAGAGTTAACAAGTTTCGTTGTCCAACTTTGAATTACCCCTCTAATTGTGCAGGTAAGGTACGCCACTTGACACCTTGTTTGGTGTCCACTCCGCTAGAATAGGTTGAATGCTCATTCTGGTGTGCAGTTTCTTCGTAGGACCGCTGTCTGCATTCGTTATAAGGCACAAGCGAACGTGCAAACAACCGGTTCCAGTAATTCTAGGCCATTAACGGACCGGGTGACTAAACTCCACGTCTGATATGATTCAACATGTTTCCAATCGTTTTTCACATCCCCTAACTTCTTGTGACAATAACACAACTTTTAGGTTTGCGAGGAAGTATGGTGTTTGCGGTGAATATGAATGCCTCTTTTTTCTTAGCTTGCCCGCTGTAGAATTCGGTGGAATTGCTTTGCTACGTGGTGATCCAGTGGTCCGTTTGGATGCTGATTCGCATAAAGCAATCCTGGCATCCGGGCGCATCATTACATATGATCGGTGCCTACTTGCAACTGGTGGAAAACCTAAGCGATTGGAGCACTTGGAAGTGTGTGCAACAACTCAAAGGGATTTGAGAAAGGCCGGTCTGGTATCTTACTTTCGCACCTTGGCTGACTACAGGTGAGTTTCTCTTGAGGTTTTGTATTGTTCACGTGCAGAAATGCTTGTAAGTGTGTGGTTGTCATGGGTTGCCGTCTTTGGATTCTGGTGGCCAAGATGCATAAGTGGGACCCAGATTCACTACATGTCTCATCTGAGACTGTGATTGTTTGAAATCGCATGCTATAGCTAGGTCAGCATTTGCCCCCTTGTTTCTCGCTTCTTGGTTTTGAGCTTGGATACGTTCTACCACATTTCTGTCTGTCAAACTCGGTGGGTATGGGTATCAGCTGTATCTTTTGCTGGGCTTTGTACGTGAAGTTGTGGATATTGTACAATGCGAGTTTTATCGTAGATTTTCAGAAGAGTCCTCAACAAGTCCACTCCAACAAATTATTATAAAATTCAGTGACTATTTATTTTACTGACACGCAAGGCCATGTGCTTATCTGTCAGGGACCTGTTTGATTTTTGTACTTTTGCACCAATTACCAAACCTTTAATCGACGTGGCGGTACTTGGAACAGCTTTCGCACCCGCTTCCTAGTAGCGTGGGCACTGAGGTTAAGTGCAGGATAATCGTCATGCGACGCAAAACTGGTGAAAATGATAGTAGTTGGTTCTACCAAAATATCAACATAACATTTTTCTGAACAATCCTTGATCTGTTGATTGGAGAGTCCTGTTAACGGACCAATTTTCTTGTCGTTCCAACCAAAACGGACAGTCTTTTCGGAAGATTGGAAGCGCATTGTTTATCTTGTCATGCGCGTAACAGTCAGAAGGTGAAACATCCCTTTAACCGCGGATGCACGCTTCCGGAGGTTGTGGACAGTTTCTTTCATGACGCCCTTGGTGCCCCATGGAGTGACATATACCGTACGAGAACAATGAATAATCAACAAAATTTACGACTGAGTTAGAAATATTCTTGAAGCCATCTCAAGTACGCTTATTTACGTTGTCTACTCGCTGTCCCCTAAAAACAGTGAATCCACTCTAATGATATTTTGATTTTCTACCAGGCGACTGCGTGAATGGGTGGACAAACACAGGAAAACGGGCAGCAAAGTAGCCGTTATTGGTGGAGGATTTCTTGGAAGTGAATTAACGGTCAGCCTGTTGACCGAGCCTACGCCAGACGACAAGAGTAATGATAAGGCTAACGAAGCCACAACCAAGTCCAGTTCGACGTCAAAGAACAATTTATCCCTCCTTCACATCTTTCGTGAGTCTTCTCCGATGGGACGTATTCTCCCACCCTGTTTGGCGTCGGCAACTGGCCGGTTTGAAGCCGGACGAGGTGCCGAACTGTGGCCATCTTCTGAAGTTGTTAGCATCTCGGTAGTCCCCGACCCGGTGCCGTCACCTGTTACTGTTACTGTTCGGAAAGATGAGAAGATTCCGTTTGCCACCCTGCAGACGGTGGCAGCAAGTGAAGTCGTGCCACAACGGGTTCGTTTGCGGATTCGTCGAAATGCGATTGAAGGGAGCAAAGTAGAAGACGTGGATGTTGACCACGTGATTATTGCTGTAAGTTATTCTTGTGGTGCTATAGTTACGGTGTCCGGGTTATATCTTTCTTAAACACTAAAACATCCATGGAAAAAAACGTAACTGTGCCATTTGTCATTTCTTCGGGCCTACGAATTCGACGGAATCAGCTGACAGCTGTAATAATCGCTGCGGTTAGGGCGGTTGCATTAAGTTTTTAATACAAGAACATCTCGAGGAGCTAGGCTACCTCCGAATTCATTTTTGTTTCTCAAGTATTCTCATGGTAAAGGCCTAACGCTGTGGTCGAAAGCCTATTCGTTAACCACGTGTTAAAACCTTACTCACTCATCGGTTTTGATCAAGCGGTAATTGGCTGAAGATACATCACCTAACTCATGGTATATGTTTGGAGTTCTACGCTTTTTCACAGCTGTATCGCAGTGGATTCATAGGAGATTTAGAACACTAATTTCGCCAAAACGAACTTGTTGTAGCACCTTTTTCATCGCTCGACGTGAAATAACATTGAAGCTGACATTCGTGATTGACCATTAGGGTTTGCATGCTACCCTCAAGGTATCTGCCCAAATAGCCTAGCAACTTGCAAGAAGTAAATCTCATGCTATTGAACAAGCTTTTCTGAAATTAATCGAGTCGTGGCGGATAGACAGCAACACACAAACGTTTCGCTTTTAGTTGCTTTGCCGTGCAGTGGTAGTCCACAGCTAGGTTCAGGCGACGAGGTTCTGCCGTGTATGCCTGAAGAATCTGCGAGGTTTGCGATGCATCGTTTTGTTACCCATTTATTGTGCACATTCGCCCCCGCTGTTGTCACGCTTTAAATATTCAACCGTTCCCAACGAAAATCAGGCAGCTTGTGTGATCGTATCCGCAAGTTATTTTTAAGCGCACCAACCGACCCCATCAAAACACGGCTCAGCTAAACATGGCTTTCCCGCACTTATTATAGTACGTCGGGCCATGAAAATCCATTTGAGCACGTGGTGGAATTGAATAATTGTTTAGCTGTAGCAACTTTCCTGTGCCTAGATGCCATTCTACTGAAAGGAAGCACGAGGACTGAGATACTACCATATCACTCATCTCTAGACATCAGTAGTCAAGAAGCGGGGATTCGAACCACGGACCTTCTGATCAGTAAGTTTGTATACTAACCACTGAACCCTCTCGAGCTCACTGAACTTTTCCATTTGACTTGTGAATGATAGAGAACTTCTCGGTTTATATGTGATTTTTCAGTGTGACGTAGGTGATCGTGACACGAGCACCATGCAGCACGTTAACTAAAGATGCAGCTTAACAAAGAGGACTCCGGGTAGGAAGTATTAACCAGTTTCAACCAACTGCCGGAAATATCGTCTCGTAGCTGCACAATGGATAGCTTTATTTCTGGGTTCAGTCACTTCACATTCAGATAGGTTTAGGACAGTATAACGAAATGTAAGGAGCGGAATTCTGCGTTCAAGAACTGAAATAGGCATGGAAACAGCTTGAAGTGTAGTTGCGACAGTAAAGTAAAGCTGACAGTCATGTGAAGCACGTTGCCAAAAAAGTCAGCACCTAATTAAATCAATGTACCTTAGTTGTTCGAACAGGATTATTCTTACCCTATCTGCCTCTTGTTGGTATTAGCCTCTTTCTTCCGCAATACACCTTTTAACTTCCTAGCTGCTCAAACTCCGATATCCCGATGCATATGATTGAAGTTGACCTGCAGCAGTGGCGGCTGAATCGCTGGATTTGTAAACATGGCGTGATTCGACACCGTGTCTTGGGCGGTTCTTGTCGGGAGTCTTCGCTAGGAAAACCAGAATAAGTCATTTTTCAAATAACATACCAGATATGTTAGATGCTTAGGTCACCAGCATTCCAGTAAAAAAGTTGCGGGTGACATAATTAACTCAGTACAGTTTAGGAGCCAGATAGCGCACACTCTGTATCCCCGGTTTTGTCGAAAGTCGGTAGCTGGTCCAGTTAGAGGAACAAATTAATCAGACTTTAATAATCGCTATATCATCGCTGTTTTGGCACACCAACCCCGCTGTAAACTCCATGAGACCAGTCCAGGGTGCCGTTTGAACGTTATGTTCAGTTTGTTTTAGTTGTCTATTGAGATCCAGGCGAGACCACTGATCTATCTTCTCCTGGTTTTGTCTCTCATAACCAAGTTTTCATTGGCCTAGTTATATTTATTTTTTTTACAATGTAAGTGTAACATTTTAGTTTCTGCTTCATCCTCAGTTTTTGTGCAACCAATGTGAATAAAATTGAATACATTGATTCCATATTTCGTTAGCTAACTCAGCTTCTAACACCCGTTTTCTTTTCAATTTCCTGGTGTTTTCCCACTTTTACTATCATGCAGACTGGTATTGAACCGAACACCCAACTTGCCGACTCCGCTGGTCTGGAAATTGATCCGGTGAATGGTGGGTTCCTCGTCAATGCGGAGTTTGAAGCTCGCGCTGGAGTCTTTGCTGCTGGTGATGCTGCCTCATATTGGGACCCCGTTTTGGGATTCCGGCGAAGGGTTGAACATTTGAATTTCGCTGAAGAAACTGGGGCTTTAGCTGGAAAAAATATGGCCAGGATTGCACCAAAAGAACTCACTGCAGCGTCCGATTTGCACTATGAGCCCATCCGGTATCAGTATCAGTCGTCGCTGTGGTCCAGCCTTGGGCCAGACCTAAGCTGGGACGCAATCGGTCATGTAGATTCGCGACGTCTGTTAACACGGGCATTCTTTGTATCCGACGATATGGTATCGTCTAAGGAAACAAGCGCCAATGGTACAGCTAATGCACACCAGTCGATTCCCTCTGCAGAATTCGGTCGTCTGGGTCATGGTGTTGTGTTCTATCTGACTCCAGAGGAAAAGCGCCTTGTTGGTATATTGCTTTGGAATCTACCGGAGGACCTTTACAAGGATCAAGAATATACTGCTCCTAGTCGTCTGAACTTAGCTCGTAGTCTGTTGGCCAAACGGATGTGTATCGGAAGCAGCCCAAATGAGACCGAGGATGAGGAACTCCGCCGATTGTCTAGCTACTTTGATCTTGTTGGAGAACTTGAGGAGGACTATAATGAACTGAAGGCATACGCTGAAGCGAAGAAACAAGAGCTACTGAGTTCGGCTGTTCAGGAAGATAAGCCTGTTCAAGGACCCGTCAGTTCGTCTGAGCAGTAGTCATTGAACTGCGTATTTGGGATATTCAGGCAGACTCCACCGGGCACTTTCCATAATAGCGACTCTCCAATCATGTAGATTTTCAGTCAATTCTGTACAGCCCTTCTCAGTTTATAATACTACGAGTCCATCGCGAATGCGTCTTTTGGTTTCGCGCTGTGGTTTTTGTATGCTCCCAGGTGACCGGTCAATTAATCTGGGTTCATTTGGTCGATACACCGGGTCATTAAACTGACGCTAGTGAGAGATTTCAGAACGCGACTCTTTGCTAACCTGAACAAGTTAAACTTTATACATTCTTGTATGTATGTACAAAGTACACCACTGTGAAACTGTGCTAGAACTGACAGTGTGTCGCAATAGCTACATAAGCGGAAGTCTGAACTATTTGCCCGCTTCCCCGGGGATGAATCCAGACCGATTGGAAGATACATGCTCGTTGTCGATGTCAAATTCCCATGTTAGCCCGGCAGTCTGCGCACGTGGTCGGCTTTCGACATCCATAGCCGGTAGTGTTACGGTTCTGTGATCCACACTCCCGCACATCTAAACCGAACAACAGTTTGGTCTTGTGGACCTTGTGCCTTGTAAGAACGGCCACTTAACAGTCACACATGTCACTGTTGTTACAATATCAGTTTCACAGAAATATACCTTTTTGCGTGTATCTAAAATCCGGGAAGTTCGAATTTTGATATCACTATGGCATATATACGGTTCCTTTGCATTTTCCATTGATACTTGATGCGGCTACTCGCCACTTTGATCACAAGTTAACGATGATGCCGACACTCCCAACACACGCTTCGTATGATGGTGGCCGTTTTTTTGAATGGACAGGGGATCGATTTGAATAAAAGCCGCATGGACGTAACTCAGCCGTGCTCCAATAAGCGTTAATTATTTTGTATAGGATGAAACAAAAATACTGAAGTATAGCGAGATGGCTCAGTGGTTAGAGCTCAGTTTTACTGACCGGATGGTCCGTGGTTCAAACCCGACCTCTCCCTTTCGACTTCCCTGTTTAGGCTTGGGCAACCTGGCATCATCCCAGCCCTCGTGCTTCCTTCTGGTGGCACGGCAGCTAGAATGTGAAAGGGTGTTACAACTTAACAAATTGTTAGTTATTATTACTACCGAAGTATACTGTTTTGCATGTTCATCCCCACACTTCCAGGGCTCTAATTCACCCCCGATTTAGGAAATGTATTCGATGCTTAAAAATTGATGGTTCATGAGTGGCAAACTTGGTGAGCTGACTTCATAGGGATGAACCCGATTAACTGAATTGGAACTAAGTCATCGTTTTCTCGGTGGCATTGCGAGAGAGCCCAGTCTCCAGTGCTGGTTTAAATTTGAACCCAGGCGCGAATTCCTCCACGTTAACGTCGACCATCTGAGCAGCTGTAGCGCGTTTTTTCTATCCATTTCATCCATTTGTCTTAACTGAGTTTTCACAACATCTTAGCAACTCACACCATCGTTTGATGGGCCTTTGCAGTTGGCTCACATTTCGTTTTTACTGGAATTATACAGACCTATAATGCAACTTGTCAAATGTGATAGTTTTTTGTAGGAATTTTTTCATCATGAGGTTCTATTGTTAAGTGACTTGGTCTTACCGCGTTGTGAAGTTCTGGCACCTCCTTAACTGTGATGTGTAAGTCTGACACCTGAAGAACCTCGCATACCGATGTAATGACGTATACTACTGATGAAACCTATCTGTCTGAGAGATTCAGTTGAGTCTTTCGTGAAAACCAACTTAATTTGCAAATGCGTGTATTTGTCAAAATCAGTCCAGTTTGGGTTCAAGTAGAAAATAAGGTTGGCGGAAACTCGGGGACTGCGCTCACTTAATGAGCCCCAAGATGTGCGAAACTGGTCGTGGGCTGTCGAAGGGTTTTCAGCAACCTCGGGAGTAGTTTCCTCTGTCTGCCTGCAATCCAAAGTGCCACCTCTGCAGCCAGTCGACAGTCGTGTGGGAGATTGCTGGTGTCAAATATTCAAGTGGCAATATAGAACGTGCTACTCATAATATTGCTGCAAGCAATTTGATACTAAGGATAACATTGGGTTTCCAATGCACTGCGCAAAGTCTTTTTTTTCATGTCAGATTGCTTTCCACCTCTGTCAGTATTTCTCAGCAAATTACTCAGTATCCGAACGCGTTCTTTCCCTTAGTGCTGTGATGGAAGCAGTCTGGCTGAACACCGATAGGTATGTTGGCAGCTTTGATGACCCTCTCAAAAGGTCCGGCGAGGGCGGCTCTTGACGGGGTTAGAGCTGGCTCTTTGAAGTCGGATGGTGCAGCTGCGGCGGAGGCTCTTGCGGCTCACCAGTCAACCTTCGGCAGGCTGTAAAACGGTCAATGCGGGCAAGTAGTGCCCGGACGGTTCTTCAGGCGAATCTTCAGGAGTAGTTGTACCGTGCTCTTCAGGCTATAGCTAACAGTTGCTCTTGGACCAGCTCATCAGTAGTGTCCGGCACTAAGTTGTACGGGCGAGAGTGACCGGTCAGTTAAGTTTGAAGGATCTGGTTCCTCTCGCTCGCGAGATGCCACTGGCCATACTGGCTATCTTTGGGAGATCTGCGGAAGGGGGCGGACGAGCCTACCGAAGAACTGGTTGAAGACAGAATTGCTGGATTGATTTCGAACAAGCAGATAGCACATCTTGGACACGGTTGACGACTGAAAGAACGAATGTCGCCGCAATCGGCAATCTACCACTCCCAACGATTTCGTGTAATGGCATTTTCCTTGGTGGGTTGCAATTAATGCGGGCACAAGCCGTCATGCCGGCAGCAGTTGAGATAGACGGGAAGGGTGCATTTCTTTAAACTGTTAAAGGGGCAGGTGTGTCATTGAGATAAAACAGAACGGAGCCATAAGCGAAACGTGCACATTAAGAATAAGGGCAGTTGGCGCTTGAAAATTGAGGATGGTTCGTTGCTTGTAATGTGTATAGTTGAGAGGGCACACTCAAGTGTCGAGTAGTTGCGAGTGTGGCGCTTCGAACTGAACGTATATTACTCAGGTTTCATCAGTAGTATACGCCATCCCACCAGGTTGATCAGCGAAAAGGTCCAACCAACAGTCTCCCAGTCCTCTACGCTGAGAGATGGAGCATCTTGCTTCTTAAAAATTCAGACTTCACTAATTGCTTTGAGGTTCCCTGGCATTATTTCAACCTTTGTACAATCACTAATGGTCCCATGTATGTCATCGATACCGTCATCCTTATTCTATTTATACAGCCAGCCGGATAAATGGAAGCCGATTATTGATAATACCTCTATTCCTCTGTCACTTATTCTTATCTTGGCTCCGCCTTGCTAACGATGTTTTTCATAGGTCTTACGTAAGGACTGACATCCCTGTCTACCCATGCGTTTCGTTTACTGAAAACCTACGCGCAATTGAGATTTTTAGGACAATTGAAGGCATTTTTCGATCTTCCATATTCACTTCCTCTTCTGTCTTTTAGGTTTTGCATTACGAAACAAACTGGACAGCAGATAGTGCTTGGTTTTGCGCTGGACTGGTTTTCTGTTGTTGTGTACTATCCACTTGAAAGGAGAATCTGGTAATCCGTAATCCGCCACGGTTGCGTGCCAATCAACTCCAAAAGGCCACACTGGCATCAGCCAAAGGTGATGTATGCTGATATCGTCTGTTTGTCTAAAAGTTCTGTGTGGATTCTGATCACGTGTTTGTGTATGTTTGATGGAATGGTAGTCTACTTTGCTGTTCAAAACACAGTCTATGACATTATTAAATTGGATTTATTTGTATACACGGAACTTATATTGTACGCTTTCCAAACTGATGCAGCATGGATAATTTATTTTACTTCCCGAAGTTGGCGGTGGTGTGAAACTGTATCACGTAGCATCATAGCACAGCGTATTTGGTCTCAGCGTTCTGCCAGCAGTAAAATCTTTTCACCGTTCTATTTTCGATCACTCGATTGACTTTACTTCACCATCTCGTAATTGTCAACTTTCTATGCTCTATAGTGCATTGATTCTTAGTTATAAACGTTTAAAAACAGACATTTAGGGACCTTTTTCGGATTCATGGCTGAAATCTCAGATGTTGTACAAGTACCCTGCTTGTTAGCTACAAGTTTACTGATTAGTGTCCTGTCTACAGCAGTTCATCCTGCCAAAAACTAATCGGCATATCAAGAGATAAGTCCGTCATCTGGGGCGCTTTATACGTTTGTGAATATCTGTTTGTTGCTTTCCCAAATGAAGCAAACGCCCAAGTTTGTTGGATTTCGATTTCGTTCAGCACATTACTTTCGTTCCTCTTTTAGGGTTCACTTTGGATGCTTGTGCCCTTGTGGAATAAATGAATAGTGACCTACCCTGACAGCTTTCACATTTTTCAGGACCAATGAGTATGGACACAACGGACCCTTCTCCATTGAAAATGAAGGTTAGCACCATTTGTTTGATGGATTAACAGCGTCGTGAATACAAATAATGATCACTATTTGCCCAATGTATTCACCACTCCAGAAATAGTGCGCACAGATTGACGATTCTATCTAACTGGTCGGAAGTTTTGTTAGTACATAGCTCTAATTAGGGTTGACCTGGTTAACCATCTATTCCATATGTGTATGTTGAATCGACCTCTGGCACAGCAGACGTCCCTTCTTTTTGTATGCCACCCCTTGGACCACGGACATCTTCTAGTCGTTGGAGATGAACGTTGTTAGTCTGCATATCATTGGACAGATCTCCGAATTGCCCACCGGTTGGGTTTTACCGAAATGTGCAAATGACTTGTTGCTCAAAAAGACCCGACTTCCGTCAAGAGGCAGGTGTTACGTCAACAGCAATTTCCGTCTTATATTGTACTAGAGACAGTGCTCCGGCAGCCTCTTGCTCAATGGTCACCGCCGGTAGCTCGATTCGCACCACATCCGCACACTACTTTTTATTTTTTTCGGGCATGTGAGCTAATTTTGGGCTAACGCATCCGTTTCTCAATGGTATGATAACAAAATGACATCACTGGAAATGAGTACAGTGGTAGGTACTTTTTGCGCATGCGGTACTATCCCTGTCAGTCATCCTTGCCTGTATCAACCTCCCTGTTTTACCAACGTATAACTGTGTACGT